ACACACACACACACACACACACACACATTCATTTTAGTCCGTTTCTTAGCATAGCATGGCATATTTGGGGGATAATTTTTAAATAGTCAATATCTCATGTTTTATTTAATTAAACAAAACATGTTGTTAATGAATGCTGTCCGACTGCAGGTGTTCCTGTACTGTTAAGAAAAACACTGTTCTATATTAATACTTGCTGTTGCTGCTACCTTTAGTTTGTGCTGCTGTTGCCTTTTATTTAATTTGAAATCTCGGGCACAGTCTCCCTTGCATGAAAGGTTGCGTATTTAATATTAAACATAAAATGCTGGGTTTGTCTACATGTTGTTGTTTATTTTTGAATGGAGCTTTTGAGAAGTTCCCTACTCTGTTTATCAGACACTGTCTTTGCAGGGGGAGAAGATGGGTCTTATTCTAAGGCGGGGGCAGGCGAAATGTGGCGCGCCAGGCTATTCTTTCCAGCCCATGGGGCCCCTCCAAAAATTTAGAAAATTAATATTCATCTGCCCCTGGCTGCCTGTTATGCAGCTCTCAATGACTTGCCAAAACTCAGTAAGCAGCCCTCCGCCTGAAATTTCCCACCCCTGTTCTAAGGCAGTCAGCACCAGTCCCATGTGTTCACTTCCTGTATGGCATTCATGACCTTCATCTGTACAAGATGCAAGATAAGGCTAGTGGATTGGAACCAGCCTGCCATGCATCAAAGCAGACTAGTACTAGGTCACTTGACTCATCCCAGCCATTTTGTTCCTTTAACCTCTGTCAAGGAATTGTCATGTAGATAGTGTTGAGAGTCCATGCTCAAGTGGTTGTGGGTGTTTTTAACTTTAGAACAGCTATTAGAGGATTTTAGTGTTGTATTGGAAGATGAATTTGTTTCTAGTTTATATGATAACCCTTAAATATGCATTTTAATGTAAAAAAGCCTGGCACAGGATCCTAGCATTTACAGCGAATTACTAAGTCTTGTTTTTAGGTTTGAATGTAGTTGGTGAGGTGAAGCTAGAGGAAATAGGTGTATGGCTATTGCATAGCAACTTGGTTTATAGTGTGGATTTCTATTTTGAAGACTACTTCTTTTTATTAATGTGCTTTATTCTAACCACTAAGTTGATATACATTTATTCTGAAACTCTACTTAGAAAAGATGTGCTGCACTTTTGTAGCAGTAGCACAAATATTTAAGGAAAAAGTGGCTGACCTTTGACCATAATTACACAACTCTAGGATTGCTCAAGTAGCTTAAATGCAATATTTTGATATAAAGGACAGAGTGCACCTCCAGAAGCCCTGAAACATCACTTATACAGAGATACAGAGAGCCTTTTGAAGAGTAAATATTTGTGGATGCAATAAACGAGTATATAAAGACTCTTCCTCTTCAGTCTTTAAAGCCATCTCAAACCAGTTACTTCAACCTTCTTTGTCTGCGTGCTGAGTTGAAACCGTAAAGACTTGAAACTAATGGATTGATTTGTGGCATTACTAATATGTTTAATTCTTTTTCTTTTTTTTTCTTCCCCTGCTGTCTGCTTGGCTGATCTTCACCCACAGGTGTCTACTATTGGCTTGCAAAGGTTACTAATATTTTAGCTGTTGCCCTAAATCTGATCTACCTTAGCTTCATTCATTGTTGCTTCTTTGACTACACTGCCACTGTTGCTGCTTTCATTGTTGCCTTCTTCAGAGAAATAGTCCTCAGCACAAAGGATAAGTGACTTTTTTTTTTTTTTTTTTTTTTAAAT